AATCACTGGTCTGGTACGGTATATATGTTTGTTCCGATAAGAATATTCAAAACTCAATATATGGTAAATTTAGAAAAGAGAATTATCGAGATAATCATTTATTTGTTTGTGTTAGGAATCACATATCTAAGTGAAATGATATATAAGAGATACGAATGCAAATTGTCAATCTGTTCTAAACTATAAACCCTAAACTTAAGATAATTCGACATCGGCTTTATATGATTCTCCATCTTTTTCTTTTTCTTTTTTTAATAATGAACGATCCTCCATCTTTGGAATTGATGTTAGATCGTTAATCGTAACACATAACAAACCATTAAGATAAAAAAAAATTCAGACACGGTTGTTGTGATAAGTATTATATATCAAAACTACTAATATCATCTAAAAGAATACTTATATTTAACACTATTGATTAATAAATGAATCTTGCGTCTGTTTTCTTTGTAGGGCGTCATGTAATCACGGGACGGTGAGTCGGTGATATCCTTCGTGTGCTTCACTCTCTAACATAGATAGCAAAGTAAATTTGACAAAATTAAAAATTCATTGTTAATCTATTTAATTATATTACATTGAGTTATATTAACCGTCGACAACTCAATTAGTGGATAGAGTTTCTGATTAAATAATCTGTAATAAATAAATAATTAAATGTTTGTGTCACTTTGCATGTGATACTTTGTGAAGACGAAATGAAGAAACTAAAAAAAAAGTGATGTTCGAGATGAAATGAGCCTTTTGCTTTCTCACGCTACTAAAAACTTGCGTATGTGTTTTCAATTCTGTGCCGGTCCAATTGATTATAACACAATGCAATTCAATAAGAGAATTAAATTGATCTTACAAATTAAAACTACGCAACCAAATCAAAGTAACAATTAATATAATATTTAAAAAATAAACTTATCTAAATTTTCTACAAAGTAAGATCGACCTTTGTAATGTAAATTTCAGTAAAGATCCTCGAGTGAAAAAAGAGAGTTATATAATACAGTATTTATACGAGTCCTCATTTTCTTTTAATACTGTACTAGTGTATTAGTTAGTTTTATGGAAGAGTTCAAAGTTACGTTTGCAATTGGACGAATTACTGGGTGAAAAAAAAAAGTGTTATCTATAAACCGGCCCACAGACTCCGAGTTTGGTCGGTTTCCACATATTTCGAATTTACGTTATGTGATCGACAATAAATAATCACATCTTATAAAGTCAAACGGTATTAAATATTCTTTTTCAAAAAAAAACGGTATTAAATATTCAAACTATAAAAGCCAGAAATGGAAACTTATCAGGGGGGTTAAAATCAATTACCCAGTAGACTTGATATTATTGGTGAAATAAATTTAAAATATATACCCTTTGACAAAAAAAAAATGAAAAATATATAGATAGTTCGAAGTCAATGCAGTCGAATATTTGACACAAAGCACTTTGGACGAACACAACTTGTATCTCTTTTTTTTTTCTTTGGCGTCAACAAGACTTGTATATATATCAACAGAAAAAAAAAGCACGCAAAGATATATATATATATTTCACGTGACAATTATTACATTATAGTATATATAGTCTAGTCTCTCTATGGTTCTATATATATCGCATACTTTCTAACTTATCTCTATATTAATCCCATAATCAACAAGACACTAATAGTAATATCTCATCCTCCGTCTCATTCTCCCATTCACCTACCCGTTAATTAGAGAATGACTAGTAATCTCGGTTCAAGCATCATCACCCTAATAACGCTTTTTATAAGTTTAACCCCAACCTTAATCAAATCAGATGAGGGCATTGATGTCTTCTTACCCATATCACTCAACCTCACGGTACTAACCGATCCTTTCTCCATCTCCGCCGCTTCTCATGACTTCGGTAACATAACCGATGAAAACCCCGGCGCCGTCCTCTGCCCTTCCTCCACCACGGAGGTGGCTCGTCTTCTTCGTTTCGCCAACGGAGGATTCTCGTACAACAGGGACTCAACCAGACCCACGCCTACTTTCAAAGTGGCTGCTCGAGGCCAAGGCCACTCCCTCCGTGGCCAAGCCTCTGCACCCGGAGGTGTCGTCGTGAACATGACGTGTCTCGCCAAGGCCGCTAAACCAGCAGCGGTTGTTATCTCAGCAGACGGGACTTACGCTGACGTGGCTGCCGGGACGATGTGGGTGGATGTTCTGAAGGCGGCGGTGGAGAGAGGCGTCTCGCCGGTTTCTTGGACTGATTTTTTGTATCTTAGCGTTGGCGGGACGTTGTCGAACGCTGGAATCGGTGGTCAGACGTTTAGACACGGCCCTCAGATTAGTAACGTTCATGAGCTTGACGTCATTACGGGTACGTAACTACCAAAACTTCACTAAACAAATAAAAAAAAAAAAAAAAAATTAGGAATGAAACAGTATCTATGACCTCGTAGATGCTAGTATTTTTTTGTCTGCAAGCTACAATTATATTAAGATCAGCGATACGTATTATATGCATCTGTATTGATGATAATATAATGTTTTAATTACAAACTTGATCCTTGAGATAAACTTACACGCAATAATCAGTATAAACTCAATAATATTTGGAAAACATTTTTTTTCTCAGAAAGTGAGTTTCTTCAATAGTAAATCTGGCGGACCTACGTGCAAGAAAGGAGGGTCATGTGACTTCCCTAAATTTCAATATTTTACTTATTATGATGAGAAAAAATACATTTGGTTTGACAAAAAAAATATTTTAGCTATGTCTGATCTGGGTAAAAAATAATTCTGGGTCCGCTAATGATAGTAATTATGCTAATTTGTGATTGACTTATTAATATGTGGAGTTTGTCTTTTTGTTCGTAATAATTTATTGTTTGACAATTAGTCGTTCATAATAATTAATTTCAGGAAAAGGTGAAATGATGACTTGCTCGCCAAAGTTAAACCCTGAATTGTTCTATGGAGTTTTAGGAGGTCTGGGTCAATTCGGTATTATAACGAGGGCCAGGATTGCGTTGGATCATGCACCCACAAGGGTATGTATCATCTATAGTGTAATCGATTTATAATTAATGTAGTGGTCGCAAATCTAAAACTGATATGATTTGGTTGGAACGTATAATAGGAAGTCAAAAGGCTGATCTTGAATTATTTTAATTTGAATAAAAATCAATACATTTGTTGAATAAACTCTCATATTGCTTACGTTTTATTAGATTCTGCGCAATCAATCCTAGGACTTGCTCGAGTGTAATCTTGTCTTATGCTTGCAAATCTTGTTGATGTCAATATCTAATCTTTTTTATTATATTTTCCTACGTAAGTCTTATAGTTATTTTAAACTGCTATAAATTGTGTACGTAGACTTTCGATAAAAGTTATGGTCTCTTGCACCTATTTGTTTATCGCTATAGTGATTCAAAGTTCTATAAATGATTCTTGGTTTTCCTTTATGAAAAATAGACCATATATACAATCTACGAAGATGATCTTAAATGGATTAATTTCTGGATATAAATTGATATACAATTATGCAGGTGAAATGGTCTCGCATACTCTACAGTGACTTCTCGACTTTTAAAAGAGACCAAGAGCGTTTGATATCAATGACCAATGATCGTGGTGGAGTTGACTTTTTGGAAGGTCAGCTAATGATGTCAAACGGCTTTGTCGACACCTCTTTCTTCCCACTCTCCGATCAAACAAGAGTCGCATCTCTTGTGAATGACCACCGTATCATCTATGTTCTCGAAGTAGCCAAGTATTATGATAGAACCACCCTTCCCATCATTGACCAGGTACTATGAAATCCTTCATGATGATTATTCTCACATAGTGACTCAGAATCATCACCATCATTACTTAAAATAAGATATAATACTTGCTGTTATGTTCATTTCGCATTATTTATTATACACATCCACAAATCGCCCTGATCATATCATAACAATATATATGTCCATATATATATGCTTATTAAATATCTCATATCTTTTGTTGTAGGTGATTGACATGTTAACTAGAACTCTAGGTTTCGCTCCGGGGTTTATGTTCGTACAAGATGTTCCTTATTTCGATTTTTTGAACCGTGTCCGAAACGAAGAAGATAAACTCAGATCTTTAGGGCTATGGGAAGTTCCTCATCCATGGCTTAACATCTTCGTACCGGGATCTCGAATTCTAGATTTTCATGATGGTGTTATCAATGGCCTTCTTCTAAACCAAACCTCTACTACTGGTGTTACTCTCTTCTATCCCACCAACCGAAACAAGTAAATAAATATTTACTTTCTGTATAATTTTATTTGAAATTATGTCCCATTAACGTATGTTAACACGATTTTTTTTAATATTAATTAATAGATGGAACAACCGCATGTCAACGATGACACCGGACGAAGATGTTTTTTATGTGATCGGATTACTGCAATCAGCTGGTGGATCTCAAAATTGGCAAGAACTTGAAAATCTCAACGACAAGGTTATTCAGTTTTGTGAAAACTCGGGAATTAAGATTAAAGAATATTTGATGCATTATACAAGAAAAGAAGATTGGGTTAAACATTTTGGACCAAAATGGGATGATTTTTTGAGGAAGAAAATTATGTTTGATCCTAAAAGACTATTGTCTCCAGGACAAGACATATTTAATTAACTTATCACATATGTCTTAATTGATTTGTTTTGTAACTTTAAGACGTGTCTTTAACATGAACAGGCAACTACTTTCATCGTCTAACTAATAAATAAATGGTTTTGTTATTTGGGTTAGGCTACTTAATTACTTTAATCTTTTTCGTTGTTGTATTAATTAGTCAAAAGCAAAGAAAAATATATTGTTATAGGCTCTCCGAAATTAAGAACGAATTATTTTCTTTTATTAATAACTTATATGGGTTACTAAGAAGTATACAAATTATACAATTAAGACCCTATTTTATTAAGATAATGAAAAACGGCGTGCATGTTTTATTGCTAAATTGAAAACGGTGTGTTACTTGGAAATTCGTACACTCTTATTGAAAACGTGGTCGTTTTGAAATTAGTACAAAGTTGTCTTTCTTAGCCAAATTCATCCATGGCGCTGTGTCAATTCCCACTGAATCTTTACACTATCTCCTCATCAACATCTTCGTCTCCTCAATTCCGTCGTCTTCAACCTCTAGAGTCCTCTATAAAGCCTAATTTCTTTATTCGTAGACTCAGATTTCGTAGCTTCAATCACCCAATTCGGTTTCACACCCTTGAATTGAGTGTCATCAGAGCCACCATTGATATCGACACTCACCAGAGGAAGAAGACGAAGAGAAAACCTAAACCGGGTTTTTTCGAAGAAATTAGCGATAAATGGTCTTCACGTATCAGCCCTAAAACCGAGAAATTGCCATGGCAGAAGCAAGAAGAGCAAATTCAACATCATAAAGACGATGGAGATGAATCAAGATCAAATCTTTCTTCTGGGTATGGTTTATCTGATAAGAGAACCGATTCCAATCGACTCTATTCGGCGAATGAGCCGTCGACTTTCCCAAGACCAAGCGGATACATGTCTGCTCCATGGGTTAACAATGGTGGGTCTAAAGGTGTTAACTTTACGACTAGCTTCGAGCAAGGAGTTGAAAGTTCGAGTTTTGATGATGTTATTACTGTAGATAGATATAGAAGGGATAACGATTCTAGTAATAGAGGTGTAGATTCAGATTTAGATGATGGTGAAAGAGGGATGATAGATTCAGGGAAAGATAAGGGAATATGGAAAACGAGGAGGAGTAATACGGCAGAAGCTGAGAGGGTTGTACCAGAACATGAGCTGAGAAGGTTGAGGAGTGTAGCTTTGAGAATGGTTGAGAGAGTGAAAGTAGGTTCTGCAGGAATTACGCAGGTGTTGGTTCAAGCTATTCATGAGAAATGGGAGGTTGATGAAGTTGTTAAGTTGAAATTTGGAGAGCCTTTTTCTCTTAATATGAAGAGAACTCATGAAGTTTTGGAGGTTAGATTTGAATCTGTTGAAATAAGGAATGATCTTTTCGGTAGTATTCTGAATAATGTGTTTACTTTTTTTGTTGGTTGTGGTGTTTAATAGAATAAAACTGGGGGATTAGTGATATGGAGGTCAGGAAGCTCGGTTGTGCTATACCGAGGAATAAGTTACAAGCTCAAGTGTGTTCAAACATTTATTAAACAGAACAATCTCAATACAAAACATGTAGAGGCAAGGGATTACGTACCTGAGGATGCGAATTACCCCAAGAATGTTCCTAAAGAACAATTATCCGAGCTATGTGAATTGAATGATTTGTTGGATGAGCTTGGTCCAAGGTTTCATGATTGGACAGGGTGTGCTCCGTTTCCTGTTGATGCAGACTTGCTTCCTGGATACGTTGAAGGATATAGGTGTCCGTTTAGGATTCTTCCGCAAGGAGTAAAGCCTTGTTTGTCTAACACGGAAATGACAGAAATGCGTCGGCTTGCTAGGACAAGCCCTCCACATTTTGCTCTGGGTACGCATAAAATCATCGAATCTTACTTTCTTTTAGTAGTAGTAATATATGATTTCCCAAGTGACTGTTGTTTCTTTATTTATCTGGTTTAGGGAGGAGCAGAGAGTTACAAGGTCTGGCTAAGGCAATGGTAAAGCTATGGGCAAAAAGTGCGATCGCCAAAATAGCAATCAAACGCGGTGTAGAAAATACGCGGAATGAGAGAATGGCGGAAGAACTTAAGGTTTGATGAAAACATAAACTTCCATATATATTCACACTCACCAATATTTTGCATGTGCTCACTTTGTTTATCTTATTCATTCTTGAAGAGACTTACTCGCGGTGTACTTGTTTCGAGAAACAAGGAGTATATTGTCTTCTACAGAGGTAATGACTTCATGCCTCCTGCCGTGGCAGAGGCATTGACCGAGAGGCAAAAGGAGATAACGGAAGTTCTTCAAACCAAGGAGGATCAAGTCCGAGAAATGGCTTCAACAAGAGTCACACTCACATCACAAGCCAAATCGCCTAAAACCCAATTACTCGCAGGAACGCTTGCTGAGACTATAGCTGCAAGTTCTCGGTGGGCACCAGATGCAAGCAGCGTTGATATTGAAGAGTTAAAGAGAGAATCAGCTTCCATCAAAAGAGCTGCATTGATTAGAGATCTTGAGCTAAGGCTTCTTTATGTGAGTATTACCCTTTTTTTTTTCTTTTGGTATCTGATTGCACACATTTGCTCTGCCTTAAATTTGATGATCTCTCTTTGGTTCCAGGGAAAGCAAAAGTTGAGAAGAGCTGAGAGAGATTTAGCTAAAGTGCAGAAGGATCTTGACCCATCAGAACTCCCAACTGATTCAGAAACAATCACAGAAGAAGAGAGACTTCTTTACCGCAAAATTGGTTTGAGTATGGATCCGTTTCTTCTCTTAGGTAAGCACAAAGACTGTTCTCACTCATGTGTCACGTTTAAAGCCAAAACAATCTGTAAGAATTCGATTTCCTGTTCTTAAAATGTTTTACAGGAAGACGAGAAGTGTATGATGGTACCATAGAGAACATGCATCTACACTGGAAACATCGTGAGCTTGTAAAAGTGATTGTTAGAGGCAAATCTCTTCCGCAAGTCAAACATATCGCTATCTCTTTGGAGGCTGAGAGTGGAGGAGTATTGGTATCCGTTGATAAAACCATGAAAGGCTATTCGATTATACTCTATCGCGGAAAGAATTATCAGATGCCATTTCGGCTTAGGCCTTCAAACTTATTGACGAGAAAAAAGGCTTTTGCTCGATCCATTGAGCTTCAAAGAAGAGAAGTAATGATGATAATGATTTTACGTGTAACTTGTGTTGAAAGTTTTCTGTTGTGATCAATATTGGTCTCTTTGTTTCTGACAGGCACTGAAGTATCATGTTGCAGACCTAGAGGAACGGATAGAGCTGCTGAAGACCGGACAGGTTTGATGAAACTTGAATGCTTTTATGACAGATCAATCTACTTTAAGCCCTTCTGAGTAAACAAACTTATCATTGAAAATTGATCCAGGATGACGATAGGGAACCCGGCAGGAAAAGTGATGGAGAGGAAGAAAACTTGTATTTAAGAGTCGATGAATCTGATTTTTCTTCTGACGAGGTAAAATGAAATCCTCCTGAAGGTTCTTGATATTTGAAAATTTACTTGAACCACTGCATCTCTGAGATGGATTTTTTTTGAATCAGGATGAATCTCTGGAATGGGAGTCAGAAAAGAATGAAACTTTCTTATCATTGGAGGAAGAAGAAGAAGCATGAACCGGTAAACTAATATAATTTATTCGGGTCAACCGAGTCGAAATATTGATATCGCAAAAGTTAAGTTGAATTTTTGAATGCAAATGCAATATAATCAAGAGTTTATTTCAAAAGTTCTTTGTTCAATGTTACGGAAAAAAAGTATACCGAAAGAAAACATAAAGCCAATCCATATGTTATACTGTAGTAAGACACAGGTGTTGGACTAAAAAGCATAAACCAAAGCAAAGTAGGACTCTACTTCGCTGGATAAACCCGAAAACCAAAAGAAATGGGAAAATCATAAGCAACCAGATAATGAGATGTTTGCTGCTTGCTACATCATATTGCGGATTGCCATTAGACCAGTACTTATGCAGTTGTTGTGTCTGTTGTCTCGAGAAAAATGATAGTCTGTGTAGAATAGGACAGGATCATAAGTATAGAAGGCTGATCTGTTGTACTTATTCAACGGGGCGTTGAGTTGAAATCTCCTGGGCAAATCTGGATTGGCCAAGAACTCAAGAAGTGCCTTCCATACGCCACCAAATCAGTTCTTTCATCCGCCACCGCCTTGTTCCCGTCTTCTCTTGTATAACCTCCAGCTACTATGAAAGTTCCTTTGAAGGCATTTCTCATGGGTGTCAGAGTTTCCATGACCTCGAAGGTTTCGTCTTCAAGACTCTTTGATGAGAGAAAGCTGAGTTCCTTAAAGAGAGCTTCACTACTTATGAAGTACTTAGTTCTTACGTATGGAAATTAAGATCACGAGCCCTAAAGCTAAACCCTGACGGAATCACTGTCCTTGGCGTAGCTGTTGGAATTCGACATGCTTTAGACCCGCCACTTCCTCAAGAATACTACGGTAACGCCTACATAGACAGTCTACGTCGAGCTAACCAGTATTGATCTAAGGCTTAATCGTCTAACTTTTCTTTTAGAGAAAATAAAAGTTAGACGACTCTTTCTGAGAGGCACTGAAGCAGTTTTATTAGAGAAATTTAGTTTCGTAATTTCTACTTTCTTATTTACTTTTAAAGCAAGCAAAGGTGTAGTAACGACTCTTAATTATGAATTAAATAACACGAATTGAATAAGGAAATGATTAGATAGGTGACAGAAAATAATCAACATCCATAATGGTATAGTCTCCGAGTTTATTAAGAAGATTATAGTCTAAAATCCGGAATTTTCTATTATATAAAAGAAAAAAAATCAATCACATGGCCTCGGTCTTAGCATACAGTTCCTTTTTTCAAAAAATTTGTATATAAAGAAAAATTGAAAGATGAAAAAAAAGAGGGAGGACCCAATTTTGTCTTCTTTATTCTGAATGCTGTCTGCAGTAAACGTACACGATTCTTATCATATATAGCTTATGTGTTGGGCTCATGAACTTTCATAAGCCATGCAAAATTAAATTGTGTCTACTCCTTCAGGCATGTTACTTTTTATTATTATTTTAAGAAATAAAAAGAAGTAAAAAAAGTTGAAACACTTCACTATATAAACAAAATCAAGAGATGGAGACGGTGATATAGTTTTACATTCATAAATTTCGTAAGATGACAAACCGAACCAGCTCAAGCCTTCCCCTAAAAGTCGAGAAGAAATCCATTGAGCTCGTTAAACCCTCACAACGCACTCCTTCTGAAACTCTCTCCCTTTCTAGTTTAGACAACAACCCTCTCGACGAAGTTAGGCACGCAAGTGTTTACGTTTTTGAGGCAAATGAAAAGAACCACAAAGATCCGGTTTCCTTGCTTAGGAAGGCTTTGTCCCAACTTCTTGTGTACTATTATCCACTTTCAGGCAGGCTTGTTAGACGAAAAAGTGATCGAAAGTTTCAGCTGGTTTGTAATGGGGAGGGAGTCCCTTTTACGGTCGCTATCGCAGCTCCTGATCTCCCCTCTCTAAACTATATAGAAAACTTTGTTGATGAAGTTGCATTGCGGCTTGTCCCTGAGATCGACCTTAACTATGAAAGCGAGATCGGTGATTATCCTCTAGCTATGCAGGTATCGTTTCGTTTATTAGATATAAATATAGGCTTTGGATGGTGGCCGTGGACAAAAAAACGAATTAATATGTTATGGTCTAGACTATTCAATGTTTTGGGTGGGTGGGACATACAAGTTTTTCTTATAAATTATGTCCTATTAATCATTGTTAAGAAAAATTTTAAATTTGAAGGTGACCAAGTTTCCTTGCAGTGGATTCACCATTGGTACAGCATTATTACACGCGGTGTGCGATGGGTTCGGTGTGGCTAGGTTCATTCATTCTCTAACCGAGTTGGCCCGAGGCAAGCGTGAGCCATCGGTACTACCGGTATGGGAGAGAGCGCGGCTAGCTAGGAAAATAGACAATGAACCGGCTAGAGTTCCGGGCGGTGCCGGTGCTAGAGCGAGTCTTTTGGCCACTTCACCGTTTATGCCAAGTAGTGATTTGGTATGTTTCAATATTTTTTCCTTTTTTCGGCTATATAGGGTAAGAATCATTTGTTCTTATGAAAAAGTTAAAAAATCAATAATACCCAAAAGGTTTAAGTTAAGTGCTATTTTTGAAAACAAAACATACAAGTTATACTTAATCATCAAATTTGTTTTTGACGTTTCCCGCGAATGATTTTACTATCTTGTTTTACTATCATAAGACAAAAGAATAATTGTTTTTTTTTGGAATTTTTTTAAGCACACAAACTTGCATCTCAGTCAAACAAGGGCTAATTTCAATATAACTCATTTTATTTTTGTTTTCCAATAATTTAATTTTTTTATGTTCACAAAAGAGAATTTTCATAAAGTAAAACTTTTATGTTTTGTTTTCAAACTGAGCACTAAACCAATTTTTTCTGTTTGGTATTATTGATTTTTCAAAAAGTTGCAAAATCTTAGAAAATAAAGCTAAAAACTGGTAATTTAAACCCGTTACCAATTTTTATTAAAATAAAATTTGTACGAAATTATAATATTTTTATAAACTTTTGTAATTAAAGTTTACATTTTGTTTATTTATTTTTAACGTACCATCCACAGGTTACAGAGATAATAAGCATTAAAGCTGGGGACATAAAAATGCTTAAAGACACTTTGGTTAGGGAATGCGAATTCCCGAAGGAGAGTTTCACTACATATGAAATTCTTAGTGCTGGCATGTGGAAATCAAGATCTCGAGCCCTAAAGCTAGATCTTGATAGGATCACTGTCCTTTGCATAGTTGTTGGAATCCGACATGTTCTTGATCCACCATTGTCCGAAGGTTACTATGGCAACTCCATCATAGACGTGTACATCGAGTTAACCGTGAGAGAACTCCATGAATCATCGATCTATGACATTCTAAAACTCGTGAAGAGTGCCAAGAAAAAAGCTTATGACAAGAGGTATATCGAGCAAGAGCTAATAAACATGGAGAGAATGATTAAGGAAGATGTGAAATCTGGCGAGGTAATCGATGGATTATTGGTCATGACCGATGTGAGAAATATCGGGCTGTTTGGATCGATGGATTTTGGTTGGAACGAGCCTGTGAATATGAGGTTTCTTATGTTTCAAGAAAGCTTCAAAAACATGGTGATGATCTTAAGACCATCCAAGCGGGATCCAGCAATGGAAGGTGGGGTTAGAGTGGTGATGACATTGCCGAGAGATGCAATGGTTAAGTTCAAGCAAGAAATGGATGCTATGATGCATCTTCGTCCTCGCTTTTGATCAATCATTTCACTCTCTTTTTTTTTTTTAATCGAGTCATTTTGCGTATTCTCAGCTGCTTCGAACTAAAAATTATAAGAACTCGTCTTTTCTGCTATCTTATTTCCACATTCTGATAAACAAACAAACAAACAAAAGCTTTTCTATATTATAATTTTGAAGCTACCCTTGGACATTTCGTAATATGCTGACTGGACCAAAATCTGATCTAGTGGAACGTTTTGTAAACTACATTTAACAATGGGAAATATGGGATCACCCAAAAAAAGGTGGCAACAATAATATGTATAAAATCAAAAATATAATTAAAATTTTGATTCTAACAGAACATGCAGTAGTAGCGAAGTGAAAAGTAACACACATTGAACATGCAAAAATGTCACGCACAAGAGGATCAGAACCTAAAATCAAAAACGTTCAATGAAACGCATAGCTTAATTGGTGTGTAGATAGTATGTTTTAAAATATTTAGTTATTTTATTATGAAAATTAAATTTTGAACATGTCACGTACAAACAAGCTAAGAAAATAGGTAATTTTCTTAGTAAGCGTTGTTTTTATTACTTTGGATTTTGACCAAATCTCTAATTCCTAATTTATATATACCAATTGCCTATTGGTTCAAAGTTATTAAAAAGATATAAAAAAATAATGACAAAATAATTAATTAGTAATTGCTTCTTAATATATGTGAAAACTCTAAAACATCAATTTTCTAGGAAGAGAGAGAGTAATACAGGTCTTTAAATAATTCACTGATGTATCCTATACTATTATTTGGGGAGTACACTTTATTAGATACCCTTAACTAACCTTCTCTTTTGTAAGAATTTACTTAATAATGCCATTACAAAAATCTTTTTTAGAACAAATTTCATTCAATTTATTAAGGATAAACAAGTAAAATAGTAATTTATGTCATTTAATTAATTTAATTAAATTATAAAACGAAAATCTGTTATTAATTTTTTTTAAATGACCAATCAAAATGAACATATAAGATTTGATATCTAACTTACCATATTAATTTGTTATTAATCATTAAACTTCACCTCTCATCTTAATATGATTATATTAATATGAAACAAATAAATAATCATATCATCTACATAATAAAAAAAAAGTAATTCTTTTTCTTCATATGCCAAGATTTGAATTTTTAAAAACGCATATAAATTGTTCAATCTATAAAGGAAACAATTAGACGGGTCAAAAATTGAGAGTTGAGTAATATATTTCTTTTATACAAAAATAAAGTCAACAAAAATTCCGACTGAGCAAAAAAAATAAAGTCAACAAAAATTTCGACTGAGCAACGGGTCAGAATTTGAATATTTATATTCGATTTCATACATTTATTTTTTTGAAATGTATAATATTATATACTACAATAAAAATTTAAATATTTTAATTTGCAACATTTAAAATAAGTTTTACTTGATATTTTTAGAGAATATCATCAATACTTAATAGTTCAAAAAGTTAAAAATTATAAATGCTCTAATTTGATTATTTTTAAAAATATTTATAATAGGTAGCGGGTTAAATATAATATATTATACGATGAAATGAGTTTTGATCCTTATAACTATTTGAATAGTTATATTAAATTTCATATAATTTGTTTTTTGAAATTCATAATTTTATAAACTACAAAAAAAATTTAAAGATTTTAATTTGAAATATTTAAAAATAATGTAGAACATTTAAATATGGTTTGACACCTCTAAATATTTGAAAATTTGATTCCGCAAGCAATTTTAGAATTAACGAATAATAGATTATGCACACAATATTTTAAAATGAAATATTGAGATTCTAAAATAAAAATATTGACTTCACGCACGGGTTGATTTTGGTATTATTATATACTAAATATATGTTTATAACATATTCGATTATGCGAATAATTGGTAAATTCCGTAATTATAAATCTCAAACAAATTTTGTAATTAGATTAGCTCAAACAAATCTCTATTTCAACAACCAAAGAATTATAAATTGAAAAAGAATTTTCTAAATTAATTCAAAATAATAGCTAATTTTCTTAATTAATTCAAAATAATCTATGTTTTATATGCGATTCATTTATGATATTTTAATTTTTGATCTAACTGAACATATGCAATCCTATTTTGTGGTTGTTAACATAAATTAACTCATTGTTCAAAAAATATTACTTTTTAAAAAATAAAATTATTTTCCGTTTTCATATCTTTAAAAAAAAATTATCCATAATTGAGTATTATAGAAAAAATTCTATATTTATTCTAATATTGTATATAGGGACTGACAAAAAAATTAATATTTTTTCACTTACTATTATAATATATTAAAACTTAGTTTTAATATATATATTATATAAATTTTATAATAAATAAAATTTAACCCGTACTTTAGTACGGGTGATGATCTAGTAAACAGTGTGTAGAACAAATGAATATATTTTTTTTTGAATAGAAAACTTTTTGAACAAAGGGAGTTGCTCTTCGGGAACGACATATATAGCAACGTGGTAAGAAACCAGGATTGGTTTGCATCACTTCATATCTCCAATCACCGGATGTGAATATACGTCCAGGCTTGAGAAGTGAGAAATCGCCGAGAACACACTTAATATGAAAAGTGACACAACAATTGTCACATGCGTAGTACCATAACTTGTCTCCTATTTTTTTCTCACATATATCACACCAACATTCTCCACTCGTGTTTTCTTCTATGCATAAAGAGAGAAGATGTTCATCATACCAGTGCTCTATTTTTCTTGGCAAAACAACACACCTGGTATCAAGCACAAATTTACAGTCATCGCAACTAAATGTTGACCAACGAATTGGATATTCGCCGCAAGCAACACACATCATATTTTTGTCGAATTTGTAGTACAAGCGGCATGGATGACATTCGTGGATGATAGTTTCAGAAAGTGCACCACATGTAGCATCTATATCAAACCCCTTAAAATCGGTATACTTGAAACCAGAAGAAAAGCTATAACACATTGAACAACAAAACGACATCATGGCATCAACTATCAGAGTTAATGGTTTATAATGATACACATGACGTTTCTTCCTCGGAAGATTAGCGCATGTTTTATGTAGAACAAAATCGCATTGCACACAAATATAGACTGCTTGAGAATATATAGGAAAGACACATGCATGCTGCACAACGAATGCTTCCGCCACAAACAATATTTTCCTCATTGAGTTTTAAATAATGTTCCTCGTGACTAAAATGACATATGAGGTTTTCATGTATCTTCCTAAACGGTTCAATTTCTTGAGTTTCTTCGGGTATCCCCTTGAGTTCTAAGTTATCCCATACACGATATCCTGTTGCACATTTAGAATGAATAGCATAATTAGGACAAATCGAGCAAGAATACGCCCCATAGGACCAATCAACATTTTGGTGACAAACTCCACGTGGCCAACTCCCAGGAGTAAGTTGAACACGCCTATAAAGGCGATGGTCGTGACGATTGACCTTGATAATTCTGGCAAGTCAATACAGTTTTGATGGATCATGAAATCACACTGTTGGCATGAATAAGGACTTCGATCACCCAACATCCCACAAGCATCGCAAGTATAAGAGATGTCCCTTGGCATAAGGTTGAGCTGATGTTCATGAGCCTTACTAAATAAGATTTTCAGCGGTGGTGGATCCCTCACACAAGCAATATCCACACTGAATTTACAGATTGAACAATGATAAAATCTCCTCCCTAATTCTTCTCCACAGAAACGGCATTCCCCGTCAGAGAAATTATGATCTTTTCGTACAAGGAGCTTGACAGAGTGTTTGGGGTGACGAGGATAGTTTATCTCTAAAGAAAGCATACAACATTCAAAGTGGAATTTCAATTGACGCTGATAACATTTGTAGAGAAACCTGCTAATTGGTTCTTTACAAAAATTACATAAGTCACCAATATCTTCCTTGTGGAGGACAAGAGAGTGTTCATGAGCTTTGGGATATTCAATAACATCCGGGGGTGGATTTCTGGCACAAGCCGTGTCGACAACAAAATCACATATGGGACTATAATAAAACATAAGGAATACATGTTGTCCACATAACCATTTTTTTTTTTTTTTTTTTTTTTTTTTTGTCCACATAACTTACAGTCCTTATGCTCGGAAAAGGAGAAGTGGAGAGGGTGTTCAGTATGGGAAGGGTGGTTGATCTCTAAAGATGATTTTGCACATTCTTTGTGAAGAAATATTGAACACTCATAGCAACAATACCCGTCTTTGTTGTAACCACCTACCCAACAACAACCATTACACTGGTGAACCCAAGGCATAGGGTATAAAGGATGTTCTTGACTTGGTAGTTTTGTTCTAATCATGGTGAGGAATGTTTGTGATAATATCAAGCACGTCGATCATTGTATTTATACCATCTTAGCTTGTACTTTAATTTTCTATTAAATTTTGTAACAAGCAAATGATTCTTTGCTCATAAGCAAATAACAAGAAAGGAATCATAAAGATTTTTCCTCCTCTAACATACGTTGTTCTTGCAAGTAACAAGAAAGGAATTGATCCTAAACTCATGAACATTTTTCTCCTCTTCTAACATACGCAATCGGCAATCCTCTCCTATACAATTTTTTTCTAAATCGTTTTACACATAAATGGATAATGATTTGTAATTAGATTTTTTTTTAAAGTGATTTTAAGTATGAATATTCAACAATCTAAATATTCAACAAACTTTGTGAAGTCTGTGATTGGAGTCGAAGTTTCACCAGGAGAAGTCAAAGCTTCAGTTCTTCTTGCAACTTCAAGACACATGTGTCCTGGTTTCCCATCCATGGTTTTCCTTACTATTGCTCTGTGATCACCCGCCAAACCGGTTGCTGAACGATCATCACCATCATACTTGTAACTTATGTAGAAGATTGCATTCTCTGCCTTGAGCTTCTCACGCGCCTCTGTCATGTATTCTTCTTTAGTTTCTATAACAACCTTCTTGACCTCCAAGCGTGGGGAAGTTGTCAAATTCTGCAATTACATTGGCAAGAGTAAGAGGAAAGAATCTAAAGATATAGCAGGGAAAAAACTTGGTACTTGCATTTCAATAACTTACACAGTCTGTTTTCGCGTAGAATGCAATTTCCGAATATAGATACAGCCAGTCATTCTCAAGAAAATCCGGCTCTTGCACCTGTGATGATGGTCCACAATTAAAGTATTTTAACATTTCACACAACTAGCTTTCTCAAACTAAAACAAAAATCAAACTCGATCTCGCCGAACATCTTACCACGTAAAACTTTTTATTGTCAGCGGCTAAGGCCTCATCAGACAACCATTTGGGCATATCACCCATATAGAATTCATCTATTAATCCACTTTTATCCCAGTAGTCATCCAGACGTTCGTTACCTTAAAAAGTGTTCTCTATAAACAGTTAGTCCTCTAATGATCTCTAAGGACTATATATATAACCAAAAGTAGTCCTAACGATTTAAATGATACAGTGCCAAGATATACGGTAAAAAGACCCAACCATATATAAATGAATGAATGGTAAAAGTAGTGATCTTACTACTAAGTCTGCAGGCTAAGGACCTCCACTCAATAGTGAAATCGGCTCCACAGCCACCATCGCTGAACAGCGTCTGAAAAGAGATGAGAGAGTCGGAGGCAGGATCCCTTGCCTGAAAAGTCAAGTAGATGCAGACTTCACAAGTATAATCACAGCTAAACTTTTCCCAGCATTCAAATTTGAATTTTGTTCCCTGTCAAAGCAAAATAAGAACAAACTCGATCATAACGCAGACTGGCGGAGCACTAATCGATGGTCCTGAGTATGCCCGATGCTTGGAGCAGGTGAAACCTTTTTTACCTCCTTTATGGTTTTTTTTTCTTTGATAATTCAATCATGTTTGGCTGAATTTTTCCCGTATGTTTTACATTTATAATTGGATTTGATCCTGCTGGTTTAGAGTTACTTTTTTTTTATTTGGTGTTTGATTTTGATGTAGGTGAAAAAGCTACGTGCTGAAGGACCCCGCCATTTGAGAAATGACCAACTGGCCTATGTAACCTTTCTCCGAAATTACTTTCTGTTTCCTCATTTTTGTATACTGATTTTGATTCCCAGTCAATGATCTCTTTAGGTTTAGTTCTCACTGAACAAGTAGATTACCTTTTCTTTGTAGGGTTTTGATGTGGATTACTCTTCCTATCCTGGTACACTAGTTAAGTCTCGTTGGGAGAATCATTATGATATCGGCCTTTATGGTAGGCTTGGAGTCCACTGCCATAATCAACAAAACGTAAAATCAATTATCTTATCTTTATTATGTCTTTTGTCACACATTTTTGTATGAGTTTGTTGTTCTTATCGGTTTCTTGTTTTGAGCTTTGACAGGGAACAAACTTTAAGTTTGTGCGCTGGGAAAAGTATAGCACTCTGTCGACTGCATACATTGACTACTACATTACTTTGGAGGCAATGGATCCGGCCATCAACTCTGTCTTCTCTTTTCAGACGCTTTTAAGCGATGTTGGAGCTACACCCGGTATCCATCTCACGTTGAGGACCTTAGCCTGTAGAATCAAATGTAAGTATATTTTGTCTTTACCGTATCTTAGCATCGTAACTTAGTCGTTTAGGAGACCTGGTTATATATACGAACAATACTAGATGGCTAACTGTTTATGGAGAACACTTTCTTTTGAAGGTAACAAACCTACGAAGGATTATTGGGACGGTACATCAGTAGATGATTTCTACCACGGTGAGATGCCCAAATTGTTTCCAGATGATGTATTGGCCAGTGGCTCTAAAAGGTTTTACGAGGTATGATGTCCTGTGTTTGCGTAGCGTCTCCGAGTTTAATTTTGGTTTAAAGTTTTAGAATGTGTGAATATGTTAACACAGTAGGTAAATACACTTTGTGGATCATCATCGCAGGTGCAAGAAGCAGACCTGCGTGAGAATGACTGGTTGCAGCTATTCACGGAAATTGCTTTCTTCTCAAAGGCAGAGCTTGTAAGTCCTTGATATCTCTACTATTCTCACGAGAGAGAGCAAGTGAACTTTTTTTATTTGTCGTCTATTTCCTCTTTAAGGCTTGCCAATGTAATTGCAGAAATTGATGGCTCCCCCACTCTTGGAGATCAAGAAGATAGTTATAGAAACTAAAGAAGAATACACAATAGAGGCGCGTGAGAAGCTCAAGGCAGATAGTGCAATCTTCTACATAAGTTACAAGTGTACTGGTGATGCTTCTTCAGCAAGGGGTTTGGCTGGTGATCACGAAGGGATAATAAGAAAAACCATGGATGGAAAACCAGAACATATGTGTATTGAAGTTGCTCGAGAAACTGAAGAATACATACCTAGCGATAATGAATCTCTTCTGTTCTAATTATCAGTCGCTATATATTTGAAACTTTTATCATGTTATTGCACGCCGTTGTGTTTTGCTTGTGTTTTAATAATGTTTACAACTATTATCATGAATTATAAATTCATTTTAGCTCCCATATTTTAATTTCCTTCTGGAAAGGTTTGTTAACTATTTAAAATAATATTTACACCCCAGCGCCGGCCCAATGTAAATATATACTTTAAAGTAGGAAAATTTTGTTGGCCCAACTAACACATAAATGTAAAAGAATCACAAAAAACACTAATGAAGTTTCGATCTTGAGACTTGTTGCCAACGAAAACAAGGCATTGCCGCTACACCACATGCATTTTTTCTATAATAGATGTCCTAAAATTAATAATATATTTTTGGCGCCTAAAGCACAAGCTTCAATTTCTTTAGCTCAAGGCCGGACCTGTACACCCACTTTCCTTGCGCTAGTCAGTACTAGTCTATACTAGGCCCCCGAATGGCAATCCGTTGTAAGTGTGATTGCGATTCGGGTGCGTGAGAGATATGGATTGGGAGCTATGTGATTAGCTAAATTGTGAATGAAAATACGATTCAAATGCGATGCGGTAGTTCTATATTTTTGATGATAAAGCGATTTGGAAGCGATTTGAAAGCGATTCGGAAGCGATTTGAAAGCGATTTGGAAGCGATTTGGAAGCGATTTAGGGATGATTGAAAAACAAAATTACTAATATAGACAGTAGTTGCATTATTTATTGTTTACATATTTTTCGAAAAATTTTATATTTTAAATTTTTAGAAACATTATTAGCATCATATAAATTAATTTGTAAATTACATATATTTATAATTATAATTTATAAGTTACATATATTTGCTATTATATCAATTCAGAAAAAAAATAATTTACATAAAAAAAATAATTCAAATTTTGTGTTGTATTCGTAACATTTTGTTAGTATTTTCTGGAAATCTGCAGGTGGAGAAGAACTTCATGTCTATCAAGTCTAAGTCTGTGGTTATTACATGTTCTCACCACAAGAGAAAATGTCAAGGCATATCGGAGGACAGTGTATGAGTTTTCTCGTTATTTTCTCTTATAAATAGACGTTTGAGTTTTCAGTGTTTTATTCTCAGGAATCTCAGCAAAATAACAAGATGAGTGGCATTCGTATTCACTGGAAAGGAAATGATAGATACATTATGAAAAGATGCAGAAAGTTTTCTTTGGGAGATAAATCTGTAGAGATGAGTGTTGAGAAAGTTGGCGATTATTGTTTATTTTGTTATTTGTTTGCAGAAAATTATAATTATTTTTACTGACGTTATGTCATTACCATATTCAATGATGCAATCGACAGGGTGGCTGGAAGTAATTTAATTTGTGTTGCTATGGCTTATAAAGAAATTGAAAGGAGAAATGTTCCATGTGAAAGCCAAATAGATAAATGGGTATTACCACATACAAACCTTGTTATGTTGGCCATCATTGGTATTGGAGTACGATTTTTTTTTTTGTTAGTTTACCTTTTATAAAATCTTGTAATAACATCTTATTTAAATATCTTTTATCTCAATTTTCAAACATGTAATGATTTATGAGACTAGCAAAGTGAACGAACAATTGTAAAATTTGTACAAAATTTGTTTCCAACCATTTGCTTACAAAGTTTTGTAGCCTGCTAGCTCTTTTTTTTTATGAGCTTTCCTCTTATTACTTCATTTCCAAATAATTTTATTGGAACTGCTCGTTAAGGGTTTTCTTATTTAACTTTTATATTTTCTAAATCTTAAATGTTTTGATTCAATTTACTATTATTCTTGTGTGTGTGTTTTTGATTGTTTGGGTTAAAAATGGTTGTCATGTGTTCTACGGTAATGAATTTCGACTACGGTGACAACACGAGTTTTCACGAATTTTGACTTATCATAGTATTTTCAATTATTGAAAGATGAACAAAGTAATGTGTGATCTTTTTATGAATTTTGAGAACATGTATTTTTCTTTGTTATTTACGATCAATATTGTATGGGCCAATAACCCAAACCCATTTAGGGATGGACTAAATAATAATTTTTATTACCGGCAAAAAACACGTAAATACTAAATAGCATAAACAACGATGTCGTTTAAGACATTAAGAACATTGGTAGTCTCGAAACGGCGTAGTTTGATGATTAAGAGTTGAAGTCTCAACCCGACATCGTTTCGAGACTAATCTGAAACTGAGGTCGAAATCTGAAACACTATCAATCCGGTTTTTCCCCTATATTATATAGCTAGAGAAGTTGAGAAACGATTTTACTTCCCGTGTAAATCCCACCCCACTAGACTACTATGAATTTAACATTGATCCTAACCGGCCAAAAAAAAAACGATTTAAATTTTGCATAAACGATGTTGTTTTGACTTTTAAGACTTCCAAGTCTTTTATTTAACATTGGCAATATCAAAACGGCGCCGTGTTAAGGAAAACACTATTAAACGGCGTCGTGTTAAGGAGTTCACAAAATCGTCGTCGTTTTGGGACTGATAGTATGAAGTGAAAAAGGGTTACGCGAGGGGTTTTCACATTTGGGAACTTTCTCTGATTTTTCTCTACGCGAGCGGCGACTGCGACTATCATTTCCTTCTGAATTCTCGTCTGTCTCCGGTAACTTTCTCTCCATTTTTCTATCTCTGTTGGATTCTTTTAGCTTGTTACGGATTCTGCTCATGATTTGGCCTGTCTCAGTGAACCAGTAATGACCTTTAAGTAACGTTTTAGGGTTTTAATTTCTCCTTGGATGAATGATGTAAATCCTTCTTTAGGTTACAGAAGGTATCAACTTTAGTTCGGTTTTTAGTCTATAAAGCTTCTCGTTCGACCATTTTTCCTCTGCAACTAAAAATGGTTATGTTTATGTCAAAACTTGAAACCATGTTCATGTTTAGCTACTTAGGACTTGTTTTGGTTTTGCTTTATAGATATCTTCTTTCTAAATGTGTTCTTCTGCTTGATTCTGATGGATTTGTGAATGTCTTCTTCTCTTTGTTTCTCTTGAAACCAGGGATAAGATGGCTGAGCGATTATTACAATCTATGTCAAGGGTGGCTGGCCGCTGTAATCCAGATTGCGTGAAAGCAAACAATGAGCAAGAAGATTACGGTAAAATAACCTTGAATCTTAGAGAAAATTACTTTCTTTGCATCATTATTAGAAACTATGATTTGGTTTTAACTGATAGTTAACTCTCGTTTTAATATTAACAGTTTTCCTTTTGAAAGAATCATTTGAATTGACTACAACATTTTCATCTTTTTTTTGTGTGTCTTGCAGATGCATCTCAGTCTGCAGCTTTGGTAGCCGTGAATCTGATTAGCTCTGCAAGGTTTATGCTCAAACTCGACACTGAATTTACCGAGTACTCAGCTCAGTTTTTGATGGATAACGCTGGAAAGGAAGACGACCCGGGAGAAATGGATCAACAACGCTGTCAAGTCACTACCGAAAACTGCCTTCGTTACTTGGCGGAACACGTTTGGACCAAGAGGGAAGATCGGCAGAGAGACATGGATCAACAACGCTGTGAGCTCACTGTCAAGGACTGCCTTGAACTTGCTTTTAAAAAGGGGCTACCGAGAAGAGAACATTGGGCACATCTGGGATGTACGTTCAAGGCTCCCCCATTTGCTTGTCAGATACCTCGTGTTCCCGTGAAAGGAGAAGTGGTTGAGGCTAAGACTTATGATGAAGCATTCAAGCTGTTGATGCATCAACCGGTGGGAGCAAAACTGCATTTGTTCAGTCCGCAAATTGATCGTGTTGGAGAGGTAAAGTGTTGTAAGTTAAATTTCAAAAAGTTTTAGAGCTTAATGACAAAGTTTTGATCTAAATCTTGTTCAATCTTTTTTTATGTGTGGTAGGGGATTTACGATGGCCCCGCGACAGGTAATGAAACGTGCTATGTTGGACTTAGAGATGTGCTAATAGCTTCAGTGGAGGAGTTCGAGGGAGATACTGTTGCTATTGTGAAGATCTGCTACAAGAAGAAGCTTTCATTTATCAAAGTGTCTTTGACCCGTATGTTTCTCTCAGCACCACATAATGGTGACGAGTCTAAGTTCATAGGGCCAACAGGTCTGCTTGTTGACTTCATTGTCCCGCGCTTATCTATCAACTAAACAAGACCTTAGCTCTTGGTAAGTATCTGGAGCACTATATGCTAGTTGTGGTCCTACAATAAGAGTTGTGTTATGAGACTATTTTCTGTTAGTTAAGAAGTCAAGTATCTTGAAAAACATATCCTAGTTGTGGAACTTGTTTGTTGTCTGAAATTATGATTATCTATAAGCTGAAGAAGTCTTTGAACTTGTTTATCACCTTTTTAAAACGTTCGAAATTACTGTTGCCTAACTGTTTTCAATCTTCTGAATTTTCATAATTGGATTTGCTCCTAGGTTAGTTAGTCCTCCTATATATATAGTACTAGATCATCACCCGTACTAAAAGTACGGGTTGAATTTTATTTATTACAAAATTTATATAATATATATATTAGAACTAAGTTTTAATATATTATAATAGTAAGTGAAAAAATATTAATTTTTTTGTCAGTCCCTATATACAATATTAGAATAAATATAGAATTTTTTCTATAATACTCAGTTATGGATAATTTTTTTTTTTAAGATATGAAAACGGAAAATAATTTTATTTTTTAAAAAGTAATAATTTTTGAACAATGAGTTAATTTATGTTAACAACCACAAAATAGGATTGCATATATTTCAGTTAGATCAAAAATTAAAATATCATAAATGAATCGCATATAAAACATAGATTATTTTGAATTAATTAAGAAAATTAGGTATTATTTTGAATTAATTTAGAAAATTCTTTTTCAATTCATAATTCTTTCGTTGTTGAAATAGAGATTTGTTTGTGCTAATCTAATTGCAGAATTTGTTTGAGATTTATAATTACGGAATTTACCAAGTATTCGCATAATCGAATATGTTATAAACATATATTTAGTATATAATAATACCAAAATCAACCCGTGCGTGGAGTCTATATTTTTATTTTAGAATCTCAATATTTCATTTTAAAATATTGTGTGCACAATCTATTATTCGTTAATTCTAAAATTGCTTACGGAATCAAATTTTCAAATATTTAGAGGTGTCAAACCATATTTAAATGTTCTACACTATTTTTAAATATTCCAAATTAAAATCTTTAAATTTTTTTTGTAGTTTATAAAATTATGAATTTCAAAAAACAAATTATATGAAATTAAATATAACTATTCAAATAGTTATAAGGATCAAAACTCATTTCATCATATAATATATTATATTTAACCCGCTACCTATTATAAATATTTTTAAAAATAATCAAATTAGAGTATTTATAATTTTTAACTTTTTGAACTATTAAGTATTGATAATATTCTCTAAAAATATCAAGTAAAACTTATTTTAAATGTTGCAAATTAAAATATTTAAATTTTTTATTGTAGTATATAAAATTATACATTTCAAAAAAATAAATGTATGAAATCGAATATAAATATTCAAATTCTGACCCGTTGATCAGTCGGAATTTTTGTTGACTTTATTTTTGTGTAAATAAATATTTTACTCAAGTCTGAATTTTTGACCCGTTTAATTGTTTCTTTTATAGATTGAACAATTTATATGCGTTTTTAAAAATTCAAATCTTGGCATATGCAGAAAAAAATTTACTTTTTTTTTTTTATTATGTAGATGATATGATGATTTATTTGTTTCATATTAATATAATCATATAAAGATGAGAGGTGAAGTTTAATGATTAATAACAAATTAATATGGTAAGTTAGATATCAAATCTTATATGTTCATTTTGATTGGTCATTTAAAAAAATATATAATAACAGATTTTCGTTTTATAATTTAATTAAATTAATTAAATGACATAAATTAGTATTTTACTTGTTTATCCTTAATAAATTGAATGAAATTTGTTCTAAAAGAAGATTTTTGTAATGGCATTTTTAAGTAAATTCTTACAAAATGAAAGGTTAGTTAAGGGTATCTTATAAAGTGTACTCCCCAAATAATAGTATAGGATACAATAATGATTGTATTATCAGTTTATTCCAACATAATTTCAGTAATAGTGCAATGTAAAGTTTTACTGAGAATAAGTCACCAAGCTAATGATACCTCGACAGTTTGACTATACACAAGAGAAGTCAAACAAAATGTGTTTGTAACCTTAGTGTTGCCTCTGCAACAAATTTGAATCCCACACCACTAGACATTGATCAGAAGAAATCTTCAAATCTCTCTCTTTTATCAAAAAAAAAAAAAAAAAACGATCTAAATTACATAAACGATGTTGTTGTTTTAAGACTTCAACATTGGCAATTAACAATCTCAGAAAAAGGCCTTGGCAAAACGGCGTCGTATTGAAGATTAAAAAGTTGAAGTCACTAAACCGACATCGTTTTGGGAGTAAGCTGAGGCTTTCCTTTGAGAGCTACCTGCACGAACCCTCTTGAGTTTTCTCTACGCGACGGCGATTGTGCGACTCGTCTCTCTGTGTCTCCGGTAAATATCTCTCCATTTTTTCTTTCTCTGTTGGATTTCTTAGCTTGTTATGGGTTTTGTTACGGATTCTACTCATGATTTGGCCTTTCTCATTGCGATTAGTGAAAAGTGATGAACTTTTTAGTTACATTTTAGGGTTTTAACCTTTTTTTCTTGGATGAATGCTGAATCCTTCTTTAGGGTTAGAGTTATTCTTTGTCAAAGAAGCTATCAACGCTAGTTTGGTTTAGTCTATAAAGCTTCTCGTTATTTTTCATCTGCAACTAAAAATGGTTATGTTTATGTCAAAACTTGAAACCATGTTTATGCTTAACTACTTAGGTCTTGTTTTGGTTTTGATTTATAGATATATTCTTTCTCATTGTGTTCTTCTGCTTGATTCTGCTGGATTTGTGAATGTCTTCTTCTGTTTGTTTCTCTTGAAACCAGGGATAAGTAATTGCAGATGGCTGAGCGATTATTACAATCTATGTCCAGGGTGGCTGGCCGTTGTCGTCCAGATTGCGTAAAAGCAAGTAATGAGCAAGAAGATTACGGTAAATTATCAAATCTTGAATCTTAGAGAAAATTACTTTCTTTGCTTCATTGATCGAAACTATGATTTGGTTTTAACTGATAGTTAACTCTCGTTTTAATATTAACAGGTTCTATCTAATCCTCTGAAAGAATCATATGAATTGACTACAACATTTCCATCTCTCTTTTTGTCTTGCAGATGAGTCTCAAAATGCAGCTTTGGTAGCCGTGAATCTGATTAGCTCTGCAAGGTTAGTGCTCAAACTCGACACTGAGTTTACTGAGTACTCTGCTCAGTTTTTGATCGATAACGCTGGAAAGGAGGACGAGCCGGGAGAAATGGATCAACAACGCACTCAGGTCACTACCGAAAACTGCCTTCGCTACTTGGCAGAAAACGTTTGGACCAAGAAGGAAGAAATGGATCAACAACGCTGTGTGCTCACTGTCAAGGACTGCCTTGAACTTGCTTTTAAAAAGGGGCTACCGAGAAGAGAACATTGGGCACATTTGGGATGTACGTTCAAGGCTCCCCCATTTGCTTGTCAAATTCCTCGCGTTCCCGTGAAAGGAGAAGTGGTTGAGGCTAAGACTTTTGATGAAGCATTCAAGCTGTTGGTGCATCAACCCATTGGAGCAAAACTGCATTTGTTCAGTCCGCAGATTGATACTGTTGGAGAGGTAAAGTGTTGCAAGTTATCAAAATTTTAAGAGACTAGTGACAAAGTTTTGATCTAATCTTGTTCATTACATTTTCATGTGTGGTAGGGAATTTACGATGGCCCCGCGACAGCTAAAAATGGAACACACTATGTTGGACTTAGAGATGTGCTTATAGGTTCAGTGGAGAAATTCGAGGGAGATACTGTTGCTATTGTGAAGATATCCTACAAGAAGAAGCTTTCATTTGTCAAAGTGTCTCTGACCCGTATGTTTCTCACAACACCACGTAATGACACTCCGGGCATAGGGCCAACAGGTCTGCTTGTTGACTTCTGTGTCCCGCGCTTATCTATCAATTAAACAAGAGCTTAGATCTTGGTAAGTATCTGGAGCACTTTATGCTAGTTGTGGAACTTGTTTGTGGTCCTTAATTAAGAATGTCGTATGAGACTATTTTATGTAAGTTAAGTATCTTGAAAACCATATCCTAGTTGTGGAACTTGTTTGTTTGTCCGACATTATGATTGTCTTAAGAAAACTTTTATCTATAAGCTGAAGAAGTCTTTGAACTTGTTTATCATCTTTTCTCTCTACGATTGTATATACCATTTTAAAAATGGCGGAATTCAAATTGGATTTGCTCCTAGGTTTAGATAGTTCTCCTACAGTGATAGTATTATCCACCAACATAATTTTGGTAAAAGTGCAATGCAAAGCAATTTTCAGTTTCCAACACAATCATCTACTCACAATCAAAAGATGCACTTACACTTCCACAAACAGGCATATCTCCCTTAGATGAATATGTGTTATTGAAGAAGCAGGACTTTAGTAATACTATTACCCAACCTAGAAATCTGTAATACTCCCACACCACTAGACTACTAAGACCATCCTCAACGGCAGGATCTCACACCAACTCTAATAATTAAAATAATGGTAAAAATAGAAAAAGAAGGAGAGAGAGTATTAATTATGAGAGAATCGTTGCTTAAGTTTCTCTTTTAAGACTCGTTGAGAGATTTTAGAGAAACTCAACTTGTCAGATTCATTGATTCTATTGGTAGACTTTAATTAATTATTTTAAATAAGAAAATTATAATAAAAATAATATTTTTTGTCAACAGACCTCTATTTTTGAGATCCTGCCGTTAAGGATGCTCTAAGTATTTAACATTGATCAGTAGAAATCTTCAAATCTCTATAAACAGGCCCAAAAACGATTTAAATTACATAAACGATGTTGTTGTTTAAGACTTCAACATTGGCAAATGGCAATCTCTCATAAAAAGGAGCTGCTAAGGAAAATCAACAAAACGGCGTCGTATTGTCTAAGCGTCATAAGGGTTTTGCGAAGGCTTTTAGAGTTGCACGAACATTTCTCCGAGATTTCTAAACGCGACGGCGATTGCTACTGTCTCCTTCTGATTCCGGTAACTTTATCTCCATTGTTTCTTTCTCTGTTGGATTTTTTTAGCTTGGTTTGGGTTTTGTTACGGATTCTACTCATGATTTGGCCTTTCTCATTGCGATTAGTGAAAAGTGATGAACTTTTTGTTATGTTTTAGGGTTTTAACTTTTTTTCTTGGATGAGTGATGCTGAATCCTTCTTTAGGTTAGATTTATACTTTGTCAAAGAAGCTATCAACGCTAGTTTGGTTAAGTCTATAAAGCTTCTCGTTCGACGATTTTTCCTCTGCAACTAGAAATGGTTATGTTTATGTCAAAACTTGAAACCATGTTCATGTTTAGCTACTTAGGACTTGTTTTGGTTTTGCTTTATAGATATCTTCTGCTTGGTTGTGCTGGATTTTTGAATGTCTTCTTCTGTTTGTTTCTACTTAAAACCAGGAGTAATCGCTGATGGAGTCATTATTACAAACTTTTGAAGAAACGGCTGGCTTATGTCATCCAGATTGCGTGAAAGCAAGCAATGAGCAAGAAGATTACGGTAACTTATCAAATCTTGAATCTTAGAGAAAATTACTTTCTTTCTATCATTAATAGGAACTTTGATTTGGTTTTAACTGTTAGTTGCTCTCGTTTTAATTTAACAAGTTCAATCTAATCCTTTTGAAAGATCATCATATGAATTGACGACAACATTTTCATCTTTCTTTTTGTCTTGCAGATGCATCTCAATCTGCAGCTTTGATAGCTGTGAGTCTGATTAGCTCTGCACGGGTTATCTTCAAGCTCGACTCTGAGTATACTGAGTACTCAGCTCAGTATTTGGTGGATAACGTTGGGAAGGAAGAAGTTGAGGGAGAAATGGATCAACAAAGCTGTCAGTACACTGTTGAAAACCTCCTTCGGTACTTGGTGGAGAACGTTTGGATCAAGAAGGAAGATGGGCAGGGAGAAATGGATCAACAACGCCGTGAGTTCACTGTCAAAGACTGCTTTGAATTTGCTTTTAAAAAAGGGCTTCCAAGAAGTGTGCATTGGGCGCATGTGGGATGCACGTTCAAGGCTCCCCCATTTGCTTGTCAAATACCTCGCGTTCCCATGAAAGGAGAAGTGATTGAGGCTACAGATTTGGGTGAAGCATTGAAGTTGGGTATGCAACAACCAGTGGGAGCAAGGTTGCATGTGTTCAGTCCAGAGTTTGATAGTGTTGGAGAGGTAAAACTGATGTTAGTTAAATTTCAAAATTTTCAGAGACTAATGAAAAAGTTTTGATCTAATCTTGTTCAATTTTTGTTTTTGGTGTGGTAGGGAATTTACGATGGGCCGTCAGGTAATGGAACAAGCTATGTTGGCCTTAGAGATGTGATCATGGTTGAAGCGGAGAGGATCAAGGGAGAAACTGTTGTGACTGTGCAGATATGCTACAAGAAGAAGACTTCTTTTGTCAAAGTGTCTACGAGAAGTATGATTCTCCCGCTTAATGGTGACGACGAGTCTCAGGTCAGAGAGCCAACATGTCTGCTTGTTGACTTCTGTATCCCACGTTTCTCTATCAACTAAACAAGAGAGCTGAGATCTTGGTAAGTATCTGGAGAACTTTATGGTAGTTGTGGAACCTGTTTGTTGGTCCTATGTTAAGAATGTTTTATCAGACTTATTTTCTGTTTAAGTATCTTGAAAACCTTATGCTTGTTGTGGAACTCAGTTTGTGGTCTGAAATTAAGATTGTTTTATGAGACTTTTATCCGTGTTTTAAAAAGTTGCATAACTAGTTCTCTGGTCTGGTCCATTCACATCAGTTAATGATCTCTTACTCTTGATTTCTGTTTAAATTAAAAGAGGTATAAGGAATTTGTTGTCGAATTATTTGCGCTGTTAAAATCAATCAGTAAATTGGGGAGATGAGTATCTTTACTTTTAATTTCGGAAAGGGCAAGTGCCCATTGAAGACCAAAAATTTGTTGACTATTTGAAACGATATTAAAAAATAGTCAACGGATATTGTGGGTATGTCAACGGTCAACGTGACGATTGGAAGAGACAAAAGGCATGGTTCACTCCCAGCTCAAGTCACCGAGTTAATTAGTAATTTATAAGCAATTCAAATTCAAATATCAAAAGAGATGCATAATACCGTTTCATTTTAATGTTTTTTGACGCTATAATACCGTTTTGTTATACTAGTCAAAAGAAAAATAATGTGAGCTGATGTTTTCTTATATGAAATAATAATGTAAGCTGATGTTTTATTGTATATAGTCTATTTCCATCAGTAACTAGTTCAACTTTTATTCTATGTATCACTATTTAACATTCATCTTAATATCAACCAAATTGGCTTCAAGTAACGTTGTCCTACTTGAAGCCAAAATATATATGCTAAATAGAATTTTTTTTTTTTTTTTTTTTTTTTTTTTGTCATCGAAATTTTGTTTATACATGAGAAATCTGGAGAAATAACTTTTAAAAAACATAAGTACACTATTTTGCATATATCTTAATTATTTTGAGTCAACTCAAGATTCCGAAAAAATGAAGTTATCTAAATAAATTAAGTTTTAAAAAGATGCCCATGCTATCTATAAAACTTGGCATCAATTTTCTTATCGTGGAAAACAAAGCAATCATAAATATTTTACATAAGTCTTCTTCTTTCTTTTTACCAAAAAAACAAGAAATGTTTTTTTCTTTCACAGCTCACAACTCAGAAGTCAGAGAACCATAGCACGTAAAATCCATCCCTCTCGAAGAGCCTACCATCGTCATCGCGTTAAATTTAAATTACCAGTCTGCCTCTTCCAAGAAACTTCTGAGATTCTATTTTGGAAACGTGTTTTTTCCTCAAAAGTAACAACAAAATAAGATAGACGAGAAAGAAGCCTCATTATTTATTAAAATAATAATTCGATATTAAGAATATTCCTATCGAAGACAAAGGCATACAAAGACACACCAACCATGCTTCCTTACCGCGTAAATCTTAAAAAAAAAAAAAAAAATAAGAAAATTATTTTGGACTCGCCTATTATTCCTTTTTAATTGTATTGTGTGGTTTTTACTTTTTTACTTTGAAGCCTGAAATTCTTAGTAAATTATCTTTTACTTATTACTTTGTCAGTAACTTTTAAGTCCAAAATATGATAAATGAAATTAGTGCTCTCTCTCTTATTTCTCCAACGTCTACTAATCACTTGTTGTTCTTAGAAGTTAGAATAACTAATTCAAATCTTAAAATGTGTGGTTTTGTAAAAATAATCTTAAAATGGATTGGTAAGTTCCTAAATATCGACCAAATCTTTTCATATACTAAAACTTTAAGCTATAATAAAATATTTATAGATTTATCTGATCAAATTGGACTACTTTATTTTTCGTTTGTTGAATTTCTGAATGTTTAGATAAATAAAATAATACTAATATTCAGTAACGCTTATAGTTTACTGCTTCAATGGTAAACTAATTTTTTTTTTTAACGAATCTCAACATAGTCAAAACTCATACATATGATATAACCTAGTCACATCTATGATAAAATACAGCTAGGTTTTTTAAAACAATCATACGATAATCTATGTAATAAGACTAGTAAACCTTTTTTTTTTCCTCGATGGATTTGGTCGAAAAGACTATTGAATTAAATTCATAAAGAGTTTTTGCACAATGCATATCGAATCTAATATATATAAAGGCTTAATAAAACATGTTTTTCTTTTTGTCTTTTATCAAACAAGATTTACGCGGTGCAATCTCAATGAAACAGTAACGAGTAAACGCTTTATCTAATCAAAAATAATAATAAAATAATCTGCAAAAAAGAAAGTCAAGTCACCGTCAAACCCATCCGCTTACCGCGTTCACACCTTCACGCGCTTCCTTCGTCCTCTGCGTCTCTCTGTATTTTCACAAACACAGACAAAGAAACCTTTTTTATATATTGTCTGAAACCAAACCAAAACCATAAAACTCATAAATCTTTGTCTTCAAACTTCAAACACTTGTGAAAGCTTTTGATTTCACATCTAATCTAATAAGTCAAACACTTTTCAAACCAAAATTCGTCAAAGCTCTCTGAAATAAATAATCTTTTTTTTTCTCCCTTTAATGGAAATCTCTGCTTTCCCATTTCCATACCTACAAGACGAGGAGTGTTCCCATTTCCTTGGTCTATTTCAAGACATGGACTCTTCTCCTTCTGGTTTCGGATTAGAAGGTTTTGGTAACAACGACAATAATACTAATCCTAAGAAACGCCCAAGGAAGGACGACGAAGGCGGTGGCGGCGGAGGAACAGAACTCGGAGCACCTGTGAATGGTGGTAATAAGGCTGCTTTTGGAGACATACTCGCAACGCTTTTGTTGTTAGACGAGGAAGCTAAACAGCAACAAGAACAGTGGGATTTTGAATCTAATAAAGAGAAGTCTCTTCTTGAAGCTAATCACAAGAAGAAAGTGAAAACAATGGATGGTTATTACAATCAAATGCAAGATCATTACTCTGCAGCTGGTGAAACGGATGGTACGCGGTCGAAACGCGCACGGAAAACCGCGGTTGCTGCTGTGGTTTCCGCGGTAGCTTCCGGGGCGGATGCAACTGGTTCCGCTGCTACCGTTCCGGCCGCGGATATCGCTAGCGGTTCCGGGTCAGGACCGAGTCATAGGCGGTTGTGGGTTAAAGAACGAACCACGGACTGGTGGGACAGAGTAAGCCGGCCTGATTTTCCGGAAGACGAGTTCCGGCGAGAGTTTCGGATGAGCAAATCGACGTTTAACCTAATATGCGAGGAGCTAGACACGACGGTGACGAAGAAAAACACGATGCTAAGAGACGCGATTCCAGCTCCAAAACGCGTAGGCGTTTGCGTTTGGCGTTTAGCTACAGGAGCTCCGCTTCGCCACGTGTCGGAGCGTTTCGGTCTCGGAATCTCAACTTGCCACAAGCTAGTCATCGAAGTCTGCCGCGCGATCTACGACGTTCTGATGCCGAAGTATCTCCTCTGGCCGTCAGATTCAGAGATCAATTCAACGAAAGCAAAATTCGAATCGGTCCACAAAATCCCAAACGTCGTCGGATCAATCTACACCACACATATCCCGATCATCGCTCCGAAAGTCCACGTGGCGGCGTATTTTAACAAAAGACACACGGAGAGGAATCAGAAGACGTCGTACTCGATAACGGTCCAAGGGGTGGTCAACGCCGACGGAATCTTCACCGACGTTTGTATCGGAAACCCAGGATCTCTAACCGACGATCAGATCCTCGAGAAATCTTCGCTTTCACGGCAACGAGCGGCTCGTGGGATGCTACGTGACAGCTGGATCGTCGGCAACTCTGGGTTTCCGTTGACTGATTGGCTTCTTGTACCGTACGCGAGACAGAATCTGACGTGGACGCAGCACGCGTTTAACGAGAGTATTAGTGAGATTCAAGGGATCGCGACGGCGGCGTTTGAAAGGCTTAAAGGAAGGTGGGCTTGTTTGCAGAAACGGACGGAGGTGAAGCTTCAAGATCTGCCGTATGTGCTTGGAGCTTGTTGTGTGTTGCATAACATTTGTGAGATGAGGAAGGAGGAGATGTCGCCGGATTTGAAGTTTGAGGTTTTTGATGATGTGACGGTGCCGGAGAACAATATCCGATCGGCGACTGCGGTTAATACGAGGGATCATATCTCTCATAATCTCTTGCATCGTGGACTTGCCGGCACAAGAACTCTATAGACTCTCTGTTTTTCATTTTACATTTTATTGAAATTGATTTTTTATTGCAAATTCTTTTTCTAAATTAGGAATAAAAACATTTAGGGATTGGATACAGAAGAATAGTTGAATTGAGAGGACAAGTGGCTGATGGTATTGTTTGTGTTACTTATTAGCATTGTGTAATCTTTAGTTCATGTATTTTTTCTATACGAAATGAATTTGAAACCTCTCAAGTATAAGCTTATTTCTTTCACAAAATGAGTAGACTAAAAAAAAATAAAAGAACTGTAATTGATCAGTGGACAACCATTACAAGCTCAGGTTCAGACAGAAGTACAAGTAGTACACCATGAATAAATGAAAGTTGTACTTAAATCTGTTTCGTTTGCAGGATCTTCCTTTATCTGTTATACTCTTCTTATGGGTTTCTCGTTTTTAGTAATCTTCATCACATCATTAGAAATTTTGAAGGTTTTGGTACAAAAAAAGGTGAAATCGTAATCCTTGTTTATGCATTTGTTCTTGTGTTTTAGGAGAAGGATTTTTTGCTATTTTGCAAGAGAAGATGTGGTGGTAGAAATAGAACAAAAGTTAGCAACTTTGGATGATGTATCACAAAAGTGACTAACTTGGTCTTTAAAATGATTTAGAGCCGGAGAAAACACTAAGTTTAAACGACAGCAAAACCAACATGGAGGTGGTTTAGATTAATTTTCTATGGTCATAGTTCTAACTTTTGTCCATGAATCGAATTATTGATGTTAAGCTCTTTGAGAAGATAATGCAACTTTGGAAGCATGTTCCTTAATTAGTCATTATTTGTGGGCTTAAGGGATACACAGAGGGAACCCATATGAACATGTTATTTTCTTTCACATGGCATATCCGATACAATTTTTTTTTTTATTTTTTTTACTATTTGTGTTAATTATGAAATACAACATTTGGAACTACCTCAGCATAAATTTCAATTGACTAACACACTACTATCTTTTTAAAGAATGTAAATTAGTCAGCGAAATTGAGTTTTTATGCCTACACATATAAACAACAGAATTA